TTGTGATAATTGCATCAGTTGTGAAAACTGTAATGGGATACRATATTCCTCATTTATATTTTGTGACGGTTGGGTATTTTTAGCAAATGAGTTGTCAGCAGAAAGGCTTCATTAGACCCATCAGGGTATCTGCCCATGAATAACGAATCCCAAACTGTACTGACAGTTTCCTTGAGCCAAAATGATGGAGCACCTCTGACAAAAGCCATATTGTGCTCTCCATGTGAGAAGTGTGAAGAACAAAAGAGACAGTTTGTTCTTAATTTGGTCAGGTTAATATTGACACAGTTAGCTTAGAAGAGTCAGAAGTGTGTGTAATGTACACTTGCAGTGATCACTTGGGTAATTGGCTGTTGACTTCATGAATCACGGTTGCAAGAGATAGAGAACTTAGTTTTTCTTCAGGTATTTTGTGGATATTTTGCCTCTCTTAAAGGATCATCCATGTTTATAGTTATGTTAACTGTTGAATTTAAAAAGAGATTCCTGAGAATCAAGAAAAAAAAATTGAGTTTCAGAGAAAGAAGAGTCACGGCAATATACAACCTGTATAAAACGGTATTTCTCAACAAAAATACATAGTAGCTGAACAGGTCATATTCAAAAATCCTTCAGAACTCTGGATCTTCTTTCAACTTTCTCATTCTGCTTACCTAACTGATAAGAAAAATATTTCTAAAATTCAGAATGCTCATCATAGTGCTATGTTACAGCATAAGCTATTTATATGCATTAGACAAAAGCTCAATTTTATTACGTTATGCCACTAAATTACTGCAGTAGTTACACTGCTGTTAACTATGCAAAATGTATTTACTACTAGATTCTATTAATTTCAAACATGCTTAAAATCTGTTTTTTTATTTATAAGTTTTTTGTTACTTAGAGGGCATTTAACAACTAATATTGTTTACATATSCTGTTTATCCACTGTAAACTATGTAAATATTAGTCAATGCTTAAGCTCATGCATGCTAATAAAGAAAAGAAGTATATAAGAATGACAAGTTGACTGACCTTTGTCATTGTTTAGCTGTGTCAGTATATTTCCTGCTACACTAATTCATCAACAGCGTATTTTATATGCTTGTAATTAATTTGGGATGTACCAGCTTAGCTGTTGAAATTATTTGCATTTTTTCATTTCTGAAAAAAAAAAATTAGTTTTTTGTAAGAATTTACGTAGTAGGTGCAACATTCTGGTTGTTTATTTGTGTTAGCAAATTCATGGTAAAGTCCATATATCAACTATCAACTGTRTCTTTCAGTGTATTGTGTTTGATACTTTTTAAGACTTGTTTGCAACTGTCATTATTTACTTGAATGCTTGTGAAGGGAGTGAGTATCCGTATTTTGATTTAGGTACTAGTTCAAAAGAGTAAACTTTAGGAGTATTTARGGGAGTTCCAGGGACTTTCAGATGGTTTTGAATCTGCTGTAGTTCAGATTTTTCTTTGAATATATTTTAATTGTTCCAATTGAACAATTGAGGCAGTTAAGAATGGGATAATAAGGAAACTTTTTCATGCTTAAGTACATTCTGGTACTGTTTCTACTCTATGCAATACTTAYGTCTTTCGGAAAAAGATTTTACTGGTTTGGACATTCAAAGCTTATTCATGATAATTTCTCACCATAACCCCCTATTCAGGTTTCACATCTGAGGGTCCACCAGTAAACGGGCAGCTGACTGCATTAATCTGTGTGAACTTCACATAAACCTCATTTCTAGGTGCTATGCAAACATCAAAATGGAATTTCATCTCTAGTCACAGAAATGAATCCACTTTCAAAACATCTGACTAACAGATTTCCTTTCTTTTAACTTGCAGGGAGGGAGATGCATTTTGTAGACACATTTGAGTAGATTAATAAATAGTATTTATATATTTGTAACCAAAACAGCAATTTATTAGGTAGGAGACAGATGCAGGGGAATAACATGCCAATCTGCACATACAGTTGTGCTGTGTTCATGATGAACTGCTGTTTATTCAAGGCCAGTGTAGCTTGGCAGCATCAAAAGAACTCTTGGCTAGAAGATGACAAAAGAATTATCTCAAATACAAACAGCAGAAAAATAACAGAGAAAATAAAATTTGTAAGTCTTTGTTCACCAGTAGTTATAGGAAGTCAGGGCTGAAGAGAGACTCTTTTATGCTTTGTGCGTTATGTTCCCWGTAGAGAAAGATGGATTTGCAGTTTATGTTTCAAGTTCTAGGTTACTGGGCTAGTGCAAGCATTAATGGGAATAGGAAACATGAAAGTTTGCCTCCTGTGTATTTGGTGGGGGCTGTGTGTGAAAGTAGGCAATTTTTTTCCTACAAGGATGTAAAAATAGTTCACCTCAGTCTGTGTGTGTGTGTGTGTGTGTGTGTGTGTGTGTGTGTGTGTGTGTGTGTGTTTTGGAAGGTTTGCACAGAATTCAAAGAATATGAACAAAAGAATCTATAGGAATAATATGTGATAATTGTGTGTTACAGTGGAGTAACATCATGGACACAAATAAAGGGCTGCAAAATTAAGTTAACTTTTAGATTTCCTTTTGAGTGCTGAATTTTGCATCTCAACACTATTATTTTAACATCTGTTATTTTAGGTGAAATATTGGCATGACATATTTCATAAAATATTTTTCTTTTTCTAACCAAGAAAAGGTGGTTTATTCAAAGAATAGAAATAGATTGGTATCATAAAATTACAGAACTGTTAGGGTTGGAAAGGACCTCTGAAGATCATCCAGTCCAACCCCATTGTAAAGGCAGGGTCACCTGGAGCAAGTGACAGAGGAATGGGTTCTGTTGAGTTTTGAATATCTCCAGACATGGAGACTCCACAACCTTCCCAAGCAGCCTATTCCAGTGCTCTGCCACCCCCAGTGTAAGCAAATTCTCCCTCTCRTCAAGCTGAACTTCTGGTGTTTTATTTTATGGTCATTACTCCTTCTCCTGCCATTGGGCACCCCTGAAAAGAGTCAGGCCCCACCCTCCTGACACCCACCTTTGAGATATTTCTCTGTACTGATGAGAWCYCCTCTCAGCCTTCTCCACACTAAACACACCCAGCTCCCACAGTCTCTCCTCATGAGAGAGATGCTCCAGACCCCTGACCATCCCTGTGTCCCTCCACTGACCC